TAAAATAACCAAGATGTATAAATGAAATTTTTGGGGAAAAAAATGAATAAAAATTCCAAGCCCACAACAAGAAGAACAAAGAGAGAGAGCAAAATAAATTGTTGATGTTGTAAGGTTAGAAACACAAAAGACCCAAATCATTGACTTGGGTTATACCCAAATGAACATTCAGAGGCATATTAGCCAACTAAAGAATGAGAACACCATGATGAATAATTTTGAATTATGATTAACAAACTTCAGATAATTAAGAAACAGAATTGGAAAAAAAATTTCAAACATTGTATCCTCAAAAACAAATATATAAATAACACAAAATACAGATTGAAACATACATTAAGCCAAAATAGGCCTTGAGTTATGCGCTTCAACCAAATATTGACTTTTGAAGTAAAGTTAGATAGTAAATGTTGAAAGAAGAGATGGGTAGAAGAAGCGAGAGAGGTAAAAAGAGAGGCAAGATCCAATCCGCCGATTATATATAACGTTCTTCAGACACCAACAGCTGAGTAGACATGAAAGAAGAAGACGTGTCGGTTTGATAGCTATTGTTTCGAAACAATGGAAAAAAATGAATTTTTTTATTTTAAAAGAAGAAGGGGATCAGAAAGAAAAACAACCGAGTAGACATAAAAGAAGAAGACGTGTCGGTTTGAACAATTGAAAAAAATTATTTTTTATTTTTTATTCTTTTTAAAGAAGAAGGGGAACATAAAGAAAAACTGTTTTGTTTTTTAAAATTTGTTAAAATAAAACTGACGAAGTTGTGAAAACCGAAAACAACATATACGTTTTTTAAAATGGAAACAACGCTTATAATATATTGAAATCAAGTATATATTATTATTATTATTACCAAAAAGTGTAAAGGAAAACTGTTTTGTTTTTTAAAAATTCTAAAAATAAAACTGATGGTATAATATAAATATATTTATCTTTAATATATATATTTTTTCTAAATAATTGTATTACCATTTACAGTTTTTTTAAGAACACAAACTTCTTCGCAACCAGCAAATGAGCACATCGTCTTTCCAAATGGCACATTGTTGGGTACAAGTTGCAATAGTTAGGAACATTCTTTTTTAATTTAAAATTAAATAATTAGTAAAGGATAAGTATTTTACAAAAATAAATAAATAAAAAAATTCACGATTTTCCATTAGAAGATAAGTTTTAAAGATTTATTAGATTAGAGTTAAGGAAAGAGGAAACAAATAATACAACTGGAGTGGAAAGACATATTATAAAAAGAAGAGGTCAATTAAATATTTAAAGACTATTTTGAGTAAGAATCTAACTCTTTGAATAAATCTTACATGAGTTATCAGACTAAATATCAGAATTCAAGTAAAATCAAGTCCAAGAATAATTTTCGTTAATTAAGAAGTCTTGCAAAATAGAGATTGACTCAATGTCTACTCTACCTACGTGTAGTATGGACAAAGATGGAATGAGAAACGCATTTTTTTGTTTTTTAAAAATTCTTAAAATAAAACTGATGGCGTCTTAAGAAACGTATGTAATGAGAAAAATTGTGTAACCGAAAACTATGTATACGACGCTTATAAAATATTGGAAAAAGTGTATATGAAAATGAAAAATAGAGACTTGAAACAACACTTTATAGGATTGTGTAACCGAAAATAGCGTATAAGTGTTTGAAAATCGAGACAACGCTTATAAAATATTGAAAAAAGTGTAACAATTGAGACAATGCTTTAAAAATTAAAAATAGAAAGTGTGAAAATTGAGACAATGCTTAAAAAATTAAAAATAAAAAGTGTGAAAATTGAGACGAAGCTCATAAAATAATGAAAAAAGTATATATAAAAATTAAAAATAGAATACATTTTTATAGGGTAAATAGATATACAAAACTGTTACTGGGGTTGGGGGACACGAAGAAGAATTAGGGCCTTTTGCCCAAACGAAGCCTTAGGCAACCACCTAAGGCTCTAGCTGCCCCAGATAATCCTTCTTCTTCATCCCTCCCCCCCCCCCCCCCCCCCCCCCAACCAACACCAAAACCAAAACTATCATTTGTGCAAATAGCACTATCTATTCACCTGTACTATCTTTTGTGCAAAACCTTCATCTATTGAAAATGATTTCAACTTTCACTCTCCATGCAAAAAAAAAAAAAAAAACAACCCTACAATTAGAAATTATTCACATAACTCTTATCGTATCAGTTAAAGGGTAGAAAAAAACCTTGCAATGTGGTCTTGCTCATAGAAACCTTTGTAACAAGGACAGTTTCAAAAATTCTTGGGCACAAAATATATATAAAGGTCCTCCAAAATTTTAACTGAAGATTTAAAAAGGATGCAGTCCCTGTAAATCAAGAGTGCTAGGAGGGGTAGATTGGATAAAGACGTAACATTTGGCATTCTTGCGAGGCAATTAAAAGATCTGTTTAATAGTGAGACGATATGTTAGCAAAGAAAAGCGTTGTAAAGACGATAGGTTTTTCTTCATCGCTTACATGGTTGCTCTCAATCTCCAAAATTTTCTCCTTGATATTCTCCCTGAAACCAGGATTTATCACCATGACTCATTTTATTCTTTGGAAAAAGCTTTATCCAAAAAAAATCTGTAAAAGAAGTAGTAATGTAAGACATCGTAGTAGTATTTTTTTCTAGAGAAAGAATCAAGCGGCCGACCATTTAGCCAATATAGCCTTCTCTACCTTTTGCAATTCGGCATTTAATTATTTTCTTTCCTTACACTTTCCTATAAACTTATTAGACCTAAAAACATTAAATATACTCCTGCTCAGAGAAACTTTGGTAGTCCATGGGCCCTTACAAAGTTATGATTCTTTACCTATTGCTTCGTACTTTTTGATTATTAATGAACTCGGTAAAACTCCTTGCCTCCAGAAAACACACACCCCACCCCCCACCAAAAAATAATAATAATAATAAATAAAATATAATAAAAGAAAAAGGAAAAAAAAAAAACTCAAAGTGGCTTGCTATCAGAAAATACATATATAATAATATATGTACATATATAGCTTGAAATAATAGCTTGAGTAATTCAAGCTCTAAAATAGCTTTTAGATTTACATAAATTATTCATATATGTAAATTAATAACTACACAGATTTATTACTTACCAAAAAAAAAAGAAGAGAGAGTATAGAATTCCTTCCCACAAAAACACAATAGTAACCCCTTGAAAGATTCGATTATGTGTCATTACAACAAAAACCCTCTCCTAATAAGTGCAAATCATTATATATCAGTAACAATTAAATGGAAGAACAAAGAAATGATAAAATGGAAGTTAAACCTTCGATCCCAAACCAATGCACCTCAAACTTTAAAACTCACTTTGGATTAAGTGTTTACATGACCAAATTGCAATCTTTAATATACGAATTACCGTTTAAGTACAATGACTAACACTTGCTTTTAAAGTTAAAGCTTTTCTCCTCTTCGTTATTGATCTATTGGTATTTCTTGCAAGGAGATTCTTCTTAGAAATCATTTTTCATTTTTATTTTTGTTAGCCCCAGTAAAGAACTTAGATATAGACAGTAAGTTAAAAATTAGCAATAATAATGAAAAAATGACTGACCAACATTTAGAAACTGTTTATGCATCCAGCAAACGCTTCACTTAGTCAAAGTTAAGCATTCTGTCAAGTGTTGACTGTAATCATGAATCATCCATTCATGCATCACACTGTGTAAATATAATTCATAGGGATAACCTCTATAATATCGTAGTAATCTGAACCAAAAGAACTTCTTGATTCCTTACTAAACCTGATTACAAGATTGTACGTCCCTAATCTCTTCCCCATGTTGTTTAAAGTTGCAGCAATACTAGCATCATTCATCCACTTTATAACCCCAAACAATTGGCCATGTCAACTTGATCAAAACAATTTGCTAGCATGGCAAAAAAAACCTAGACTCATACTAACTATTCTTCAAGAACCATAGAAAAGAGACTATAACTCTGCTCATAATTTTTCTAGCAAGACATGGAATGCAAAGGATGGTCTTTAGCACCAAAAACAGAAGAGCAAGCCAGGTTTGCTTCAAGCAAGATAGACCCCCACAAGCTTTGATCTTTTTTAAGAATATATATATATATATATATATATATATATATATATATCCTGTGACAATAGAAGGAAAAAGTAGAAAGCAAAATTATATAGATATAACACTTTCATCCTATTTGGTATGGATGGCAGCACACCAGCAAAGCTGATGCAGCTTCCAACCAGATGGTTCTATAAATGATACTTACATTATTTTGTTGTGTTTGTGGGGTAAGATGCAACGTCACACCACTATTGAAACTAGTTTGTATAATGATTGATTCAACAATTGTAAGTACTTCGGTCAAAATTTGGGAACTAACCTAGAAAAATTCAAGAAAACAAGAAGCAATTATCAAATTTTGACACAAGTTAGGTAACAATTCGAGAAAAGCATGAAAACACGAGAAAAGTTCACACCACTATTGAAACTAGTTTGTATAATGACTGATTCAAGAATTGTAAGTACTTCGGTCAAAATTTGGGAACTAACCTAGAAAAATTCAAGAAAACAAGAAGCAATTATCAAATTTTGACACAAGTTAGGTAACAATTTGAGAAAAGCACGAAAACACAAGAAAAGTTCACAGCAATTACACACACGCATACACAGAGAGATCCTTGATTTTTTACAGAAATTCCATGTTTAATGAATGAATTGCATCCTCACCATAAAATAAAGAATTTAGGTTCATTATCTGATATTTTATGCCAATTAACACAGTATGACATCCATGTTAAAAAAATATGCCCATCATAAGATCCTACACTAAAAGAAATAGAATTTTGTGCTGGTTCTGGTCAAAGCATAAAAGTTATGTAATTGATCTGGAATGAAATGGAAACTTAAAGCTCTCAATGAAATTGATGAAACAAAGAGAATGCATTAGTGAAATTTTTTTCTTTCGTAAGTAAAAGGAACGCATTGGTAAACTTGCCTTGAAACTGCCCTCTTTTCCCTGCAGCTCTCAAATTATTGACCAATGAGACAAGTTTTGAAACTTCTAAGGCATCAAATAGTTCTTCATACAATTTCATTCCATCAACCACATTTATCTGTAGATGAAAGCTGGTGCATCTTAGAACAAATTGACGCATAATACCAATAGCTATTGTTTCAACTAAAGTAACAGTAAAAGAACAATACCTGCTTTCCCTCAAATGTCTCTGCACCAACAAAAGTTTTTGGAACAATTGTGAGATTCTGCTTCTCATGTGAGTTTTGCATAGAACTGGAATCATTCTCCGGAAGCACATTACAAGGCCCTGAAAAAATAGAAGTAAGAATGAGAAAATTTGAATGATAAGCTAAATCCTTTTTTTTATATATATAAGCAAGGTTGTATAAAAATGATAAGCTAAATCCTTCCAGATTGCCATCAACAATGAAAGATATGAACAGGGATGGGACTGATCAGTTTACATTATGCTGACAAATGCAACATGTGAGTTTTAACACATGAAAAAAATATCTAACCAATGTTTTATAGTAGTATAATAGAAAGGGCTTTAGGTAATCATTTACTCCATACTACTACCCATTAGTTCAAAACTCTCCTAACAACAATAGACCACCTCCACCTGCTCCCAGAGAAGATTATAAAAGAAGACCTTTGGAGTTTGATGCATTCCCATCATCCACCCCTTCTGCCTCAGGTTCTGAATTGCCAGAAATGTTTACTTGTGAGTTGCCTGAACCCTTGATGCAGCTGTCTAGTTGAGGACTTGCGACCACATCTGCTCCAGCACCAAACACTTAAAGTCAATACTGCCTCATTGATTTTCTAAAGCCAAAAAAAAAAAAAAAAAAACACTAATTTATGGATAACTTTTCACAATTTCTGCAATTTTGAGTCATTTAATTTAATTTAATAAATCAAATGCAATAAGAGTTAATACATGTTATAAGGCTTAAGAAAGTAAAGAGAACTGCTATCTAAAGGAGGGTCAATATTATCCTAAGATATATCAGTAATAAAAAGTACAACAGTTGAATGTAAAAGCAACCAAGTTCAAAATCTATGCCTTCTAGATCAGGAGCATGGAGAAAAATACACATATCTATGTGTGCCAGGATAACTCGTGACCACAAATGAGAGTATTTATACATTACTAGCAGTAAATTGAAATTATGCACTTTATGTGGCATTTTTATTGCCATGTTACATCCTCCATGACCCTTTTTTTTTCGTGGGTGGGGGCGGACTTGGAACGTCCACTATGAATGCTATACATTGTCATGTTCTTGAATTAGAAGTGTTAGGCAAGAATCCGCATTCTTATAGATGTTATAAACATGCATAATTCCTATTCCTACTGTGGATTGTATTATTGAAAATCTACAAAAATATGCTTGCTGGAAGAATTCCAATCAACTTCAAGAAAACTTAGTGAGATTTCACAAGCATCACAGGTGACAAATTTACACAACCATATTCATTCACACACACATAGATGAACACACATCCTCTCACACATAATGCAATAAAACATCCAACTCTAAAAGATCAGTGGCAACTAAAATAATTAATTACAATTCATACAACATTTCTTTTAATTGGCCTTTCTAATATACCAATATAAGAAATAAGCATATCCAGCAGATATAAATATGCTGCATAGCTAAGAAATATTCAATCTCCTCATTTATTAAAAGGGAAAAATACAAATTTATTGGAATGATAAATGACAATCAATTATAAACTACAAATGCCATTAGCAACATTAATACAACTGAGAATTAATTCACAAACACCAAGTAAACACATACTCAAAGGTTACCTTTTTTTTCCTCTGCAAGTGCCACACTCTTATCCTCCAACTCCATAACGTTCACCACCTCGTCCCCCAATTTGGGTTCTTCACCCTTTCCAGCCACACGTTCTCCTTTCCCCAATGCCATGGAATTGGAATTGGCCAAAGAATTGTCATCCTGACTATGATATTCTACATTAGAATTATAAACATCCTTGACATGTTCAACCCTCTGTCCCTGCCTAGACCCAAAACCAGATCTCCTAAACTCTTTCCCCTGCCCCTTTACTGGATCAAAATGCCGCTGTTGCCGCCTCCATATCACCTGCTGCAGTGCATATGAGACTTCAGCAACCGGAAAGTACGGCTGCATATGAAGAACTGGGTTCCAATTGCACCGCCTTTGCTGTATAAAACCTATAACCCCATCATACTCTCCTGGTTCTCCTATCAACCTCAAATGTTGACACAATGAGTCTATTATCGCATTGGCTGCAGCAAATTCCCCACGCAACCAAAAGATAAACCCGTCACGCTCATCAGGGAACCACTGCCGCTGGTGGTGGTGGATCTCACCGCCTCCGCCGGACCCACCACCACCGGTCGGCAACTGCATTTTATCTGATATGACCACATTTCCCGATGGCATTGCCATAGATATTATGAAATTCGATATCTATCACTCAACAGCATAAATAGCTACCTCATCCCAGATCTACACAAAAAGATCAAAGATACTAGATAGATATAGATCAAATTCCAAATATTCAATGAATTTTAATAAAATTACCAAACAAGGACCGATAAAGTGTATCACAATGCTGATAAACAAGTTACAAAACTCTCAAACACAAACAATTATATATAGTAAATGTATGATGTTATAGAGATAATACAGAATTTTCAATGTGTATGTGCGATTTGCTTGTGAAAGGTTAGAGAGAGAACATTTTGTGATCTGAATTGGGAGGGCGTGAATTGTTGAATTGTTCGGATCTGAAGATGAGTTTGAGGTCGTTTGTGAGAGAATCAAAGGGTGCACAGTGATGTAGAAACGTGGAATTCAAAGTAAAGGTTGAAGATCTAGGGTTTGTGGAATGTGGAGTGAAGGTTAAGGAGAATGTCTAATTGAGCACTCTCGTGTATGGTCTTAAATGGTGGCGCTCTCTCTCTCTCTCTTCTACTATTCGAGTACTCGTTCAGCTGTGTGGAATGGACCAGAGAGAGAATATTCTGCCTTGCAAGGGTATTTTAGTAATTGTATTGTGTTTGCAACCAAGTCTTTCTCTTTTGACAAGAATAACCCCTCCTCTAATTAAAAATGTCAAGGAGTCAAAATTGCTTACATCAACAAATATACGTCTAAAATGTCGCTTTAGCCCTTGGGATGTGTGTAAACACAATAAAAAAATATTTTGTGAGAAAATATGTTTAATTGTTAGGAAAATTTGGTATCAAAAATTGTGATAAATATACGTCTAAAATCAGGAGCTGAGCGAGGAATTACAATTTGGGGGGCTGATCTTAAAAATATATATATTAATTTAGTACACGAAACTCATTTCATTATACAGTTCGGGTCAAATTAATATTATATAATTTAAAATTTATAAATTTATAAATTAATTATAATATAATTTTTTATATTATATTATTCTTATTATTATATATATTGAGAAAAAAATACAGTTCTAGAAATGAAGAAAATGAATCTAAATAAGTAGTTATGAAAAAATAAAAAATAAAAAAATAATAATTAATTCAACAATTGTTTTACTTTAATTCCACTTTGAGAAAATATGTCATTATTACCTCAATGAAATTATTAAGAGAAAATAGAGCATTTTAACTTAACAAAAATTAACAAAACACAAGAACAAAGTAGAGAAGTGCTTTAATAATTTATATAAGGAGCATCTATTTTTTTTTTTTTTTTTACAAGATAAGAAGGGTTAGAAGTTAGATTAGTAAATGCAAAGAGTCGAAGCCGGGCACTCCCAAAATCCACCGGAGGCACTAATCACTGGGTTATCGAGGCATCTGCTATAAGGAGCATTTATAGAATTTGTTGTCTAACACATGACAATTAAAAATATTAGTATATGAGATAATAATATTGTTTTTGGCATTATTGTTATCTTGATATCTATCACAATATATTAAATATATTAGTTTTTACTATTTCTCATGAATTGATTTACAAAGAAGGTTTATGTATTTTTATTAAATAGGAGGAGATATTAGAATAATTTTTTTATTGTGTATCTGTACATGTAAATAAAATAATGATTAATTGTTGTAAAATTCTACCAACAATGAACTTATATATTTATTTTATAATATTTGAGCTTTTAAAAGTAAGCTAAAAAGGTCCAAATTAAAAAATTTATAAGTTTTGAGATGACAAGAGTTATATTTATTTCTGAATTCATAATTATTGGTACAATAAATAAATGTTTTGAAAACTTTTTTTTTGGGGGGGGGGCAATTAAAATTTTATATGAATTTTAGAGGTCACAAGTAAGGGTATTTATATAATATAATAATCTTAATAACGGTATAAAAAGAAATTGGGAAAATTATTGGGGGAAGGGGGGGTTGCCCGCGGGGCGGGGGGGGGGGGGGGGGGGGGGGGTGGGGGTTTATTTTAGCCCTTGGAATGTGAGTAAACACAATAGAGTTAATATATATATATATATATATATATATATATTAACTCTATTGTGTTTACTCACATTCCAAGGGATATATATATATATTGTTACTCAAGAATTGACTCTAAAAAGTTAGTGAATAGAGTTAATGGCCAATTTTCGCAATTTATAGATCTATAATTTTTAATTAACTTAAACAATTATGCAATAATCAAGACATGAAAGTAAACAATTAATAGCACAATTGTAAAAGAGATAAGTGGAAAGAAATTACAAACAATGACTCGGCGATTTTAGTGAGGTTCAGAAACTCCTCCTCTTCGGCTCAAGAATCCCCTTGAGACTTCCCAAATTCATTATGGCACCTCTTTATGGGTGGAGAGCAAACATTTATAAGAAGCAAGTCATTGCTTCTCCTTTCTAATAGAACAACATCCCTTAGATTTTCTTTGGGTCACACCAACTCGGTGGTTCAAACTAACCCTTACAAATGATTGTAGAACAATTTGTTGCACAAGAATATCTCACAAGATTGATATGCACATCAAGCTCACAACTAGAGTATATATATGAATATAAATGGAGCTCAATACTCTATGAATAATATAAATGAGAAAAGATTATTTAAGTGAAGAACAAAAGCTCTTATGAACTCAATAAAATCTCTCAAGTGTAGAATAACGTAAAATCTCTTTGAAGATCCAAAAAGAGCAAAAGCTCTTTAAATGCTTGATTGAATCTCTCAAGTATAGTATATGAATGATCTGAGAGATAATGAGAAGAAGAACAAAAGCTCTTATGCACAATAAGGTCTTAAGTTTTGTATGGAGTAAAAACTCTTTGAATGCTCAAGAATATTTCTCTATGGCTCTCTTTAAGTGCTCTCCATTTTTTTAGACATTCTCAACTCTATATATAGAGTTTAAAAGCTCAAAAGAGCTATTGGGAGTGGGATGCACAAAGCTCAAGATAATTAAAAAAAAAAAAAAGTCGTTACAGCCAAATCTGACACATTGTCAGTCGGCTAATAATGCACTTTCGATCGGCTAAAAGTGCCTCGGTGGTCGGCTGATGATGTTTCTTATTTTCAATCATAAAAGACCACTCGCAATGGAATGAATCTTTTGTAGGATAGGGCTACTTTGTGGGTGTCGAACCTTAGGGATTGTAATGGTTTATCAAGTCTAAAATTAATTGTTATTTTAATTTAGAGAAAAGTTGTGTTTGTTGTGATGGATTACAATAACATAGAAAGAGAATAAACAAATTAAAGAGTTAAAGATCAGAGGGAGAAGTACTTAAGGCTTGATTTCACCATGAACCTCATACTATGGTAAATTAACTCAACCTTGGGATTCCAATATTTATTTATAACCCGGAATTAAAAGAATTGACATTCAATTCAATTCAATTTTTAAGAAAATAAATCATCAATGCTTGCTAAGAATAACCTATCTTCAGTTGGCACGAGTTATTTACCTACCTATTCTAAACTAATTTTGCTGAATAATTCGTCTTCCCTAAGCATAAACTATCAAAACATTAATTTATAAAAATGGTTTAAGTACAATTGTATGATCACTATTCTTATTGTCATGAGAAGACCTTCGCCGCCAATTTCAAACAATAAGAATAGTTTGAATTTGATTAATGACGAATTAATTTTAAGACAAGATATTAATTTATCAAAAACCAATTTTATTCCATTAAAAACCCAATTGCTCAGAAGATTTAAGTCAATTGCTCATAATCATGCAATCAATTATACATAAATACTAAAAAAATCCCAAAGTTTAAGAACAATCAAACCATAATAATCGGATTCGGGTTACATAAATGCCCTAAGAGAAGATTTAGCTACTCATGACGACGGAGAATATCATCTTTGTTGGTGTGGAAAGCATCTTCATGGACTACAACTTGTTACCAAGAAGGTTTCTGTATTTTTATTAAATAGGAGGAGACATTAGAATAATTTTTTTTACTGTGTATCTGTACATGTAAATAAAATAATGATTTATCGTTGTAAAATTCTACCAACAATGAACTTATATATTTATTTTATAATATTTGAGCTTTTAAAAGTAAGCTAAAAAGGTCCGAATTAAAAAATTTATAAGTTTTGAGGTGACAAGAGTTATATTTATTTCTGAATTCATAATTATTGGTACAATAAATAAGTGTTTTGAAAACTTTTGGGGGGGCTAATTAAAATTTTATATGAATTTTAGAGTTCACAAGTAAGGGTATTTATATAATATAATAATCTCAATAACGATAAAATAAGAAATTAAAAAAAATTTGGGGCGCATGGCCCCTGCTGCCCCCTCTAGCTCCACCCGTCTAAAATGTCACTTTAGCCCTTGGAATGTGTGTAAACACAATATATATATATATATATATATATATATATATATATATATATATATATGTATGTATAAGCGCTAAAAAGTGCACATTTAAACCCTTTAATCTTGAATATTCTAGGACCTTTATTTATTTTATTTTCCCGTTTTAGCCTAATTTCATATTATTCCCTTTTTTAGGCACTTATTTTCAGTCAAATCAGTTGAATTAGAGCATTGGAGGAAGCAATCTAAAGTCTAGTTGAAAAAAGGAGTAAAGTGGAAGCAGAGTGATGAAAAAGTCCTCTATGATCGATCGAACCAAGCCATGATCGATCGCATTGCGATCGTTCCAACCATGCCATGATGGATCGAATTCCTTGTCCTTATTCTCAGGAAAATTTCCCATTCGATCGATTCAACCTTTCCTTCGATCAATCGAACCTTTTGATTTTATCCTCACCAACCACTTTTGTCCTTTTCCCATAAATATCTCAGCCTTTGTCTTTATCCAAATAAATGCGCCGCCTTACTTCGATCGATCAGAGCAACCATGTGATCGATCGAAACTACCTCAAATTGCGTGCAAAACAGATTTCAAGGTAAATTGAAGGTGTGCTCGTGGTGCAATCATTTGGAGGTCTTAGTGCACGAGGTCTGACTATTGGGTGTGACATTTGAGCTACCTATATTAGGAATTTGGCTATTTTTTAGTAGAGAGGTTGGTTAGTTAGAGAGAATTAGCTAGAGATTAAAGATAAAACATTACATTTTGGGTGAGTTCTTCATTCTTCTAGGGTTTCCACTAAGAACACCAAAGAGGAGGATGACTTCAACCATGGAGAAAGCCCTTGAGGGTTGGATGACACCAATCATGAGTGGCTAAACTATTCTCTTGGGGCTAGAGATAGTCCTAAGCATACTTCCTAGACTTTGATGATTGTAGTTAATGGGGATTTGTGTTGTAACTATTGTTTTGACCTCTTTTATATATAAATCTTGTTTCTACATGATTTGTGTAGTCTAATACTTCCAATTGATCGTTTAATTCTATTCATATGTCTATGTATGTTGGAATGAATGGTCATGTGCTTTATGATGAGCGCTGAAAAATGCGCATTTAAACCCCTTAAGCTTAGGTATTCTAGGACCTTTATCTATCTTACTTTCCCGTTTTAGACTAATTTTATGTTATTACCCTT